TTGTATTGTTATTGAGGTAGAGCCATATTGAGTTCCAGTCAATCTGTGTTAATAATGAAATAATATATAGTTATTGGATAGGGTTTTAAAAATATGCACATAGGTACCTAACGGCAACAGGTGATCTGCACCAATTGCCTGTTGCCATTAGGTACCCACGTAAATATTTTTAACCCTATCCAATAATGGTATTATTATATAGTAGTTATTAATAACTATACTATTACGTCATATCAGTATAGTTTATTTCATTAAATAAAAGTGCATTCTTTCGTAAAAACTTTTTTTTAAAATTCTCTTTCGATTTCATTTATTTTTAAAATGCCTAAAAATAAAAAAGAGAAAATTTATCAAAAACCTACCGAAGAGCAATTGCAGTATCTGCGTAATAAGTCCAAGGTTTTAAATACACAAAGATCTACACAAAATTGGATACTTAAATTTCAGAAATATAGATTGGATATTGGATTGGAAGGTGTACCAGAAGATATTAATGAAACTTCAAAGCTAGAAATGGAACTTTGTGACTATTTTACAGTAGCTGAAAAAGAAGATGGATCTTCATATTCAGTATCGTCACTATTAGCTGCAATTCAGGCAATTAATAGATTCTACAATTCAAGTACAAGCAAAATTAAACCAGTTAACTTGTGTGATTGGCAAGCATTTCCAAATCTATGGGAAATACTTGATGGAAAAATTAAAGATCTTTCTGAAAAAGGTTATAGTGAAACTAATGGATCTGATTTATTATCAATCGAAGAAATTCAACAAATTTTACAACATGAGGCAACATTAAAAGATACATTAAATGGATTACTAAACTGGGTTTTCTTTTACAATGCTATTTTTTTAGCTTTACGAGGTGGAGAGCACTATACTTTAATGGCCAATCATTTTCAAAAAAGAAAAGATGGTGGTTTCAATGTTTTTATTTATAAATCTAAAACAAATCAGCGTGGATTAAAAAATCTAGATTCTGCAGATAAGATTTCAATCCCTACAGAAAACTCTGAAATTATTGCCAACTATAAAAAATATTTTTTAAACCGTCCAATTGATGCTAATCCTGAATTTTATTTGCAACCTATCGATACAAAATCTGCTCAGAGTATTTTATTATTATTATTAATTATTAATCTATATATTTATTTAAAATACTTATAAATTATTTTATAGATTATTCAGCAATTAAAGTATGGTATAGGAAAAGTCATCTTGGACAAATTAAACTTAAAAATTTTATAAGAACGCTTGCTGAAAAAACTGGAATCAATTGTGATAATCGTAAAATTACTAATCAGGCTGAGTGTAAAACTCTTGTATAATGTTTAAAGGATATTGGTACTACAGACTATGAAGTTTCAACAATTACTAGACATCATTCTCTGTCTTTTCTCGCTCGTTATGAACGACCAAAAGATGGTGTTCAGAAATCTGCTTTAGTAAACTTAATAGATACAGTAAATTCTAAAACAAATACGATTGCTCCTCAACCTCAATCCACTACTATATTACCCAATAAAGATTTATATCATGGTTTCAAAACGGCACAACAAATTTATCAAGGTAAATTAGGTTTTTTTTTATTAGTTATTTTAATTCTAATATTTACTTTATTTTTTACTTAATTAGC